TTAGGGTTTACTACCCTAAACCCTAAACCCTAAATTCGGGTTTAGGGCGTTTAGGCCGTTTAGGGCCAGGGAACTTCAGGGACCCGCGGGTTCTCTGAAGTAATCTGGAGCGCCACAAGACGAGGCTACGATACTGGCCCCGTCCAGCCGAGGAAGGCGCACCCAAAGCCTGAAACCCTGAACCCCGAACTATGGAAAACCCTGGCCCTATTTTAGGGTTTAGGGTTTAGGGTTTAGACCCTAAACCCTAAACCCTAAACCCTAAACCCTAAACCCTAAACCCTAAACCCTAAACCTTAGGGTTGACCCTAAGCCCTGGCCCTAAATCCTAAACCCTGAACTCTGAAAACCCTATACCCTAAACCCTACCACCCTACAGACTTAACCCTGAACCCTGAACCCAGAAGACGAGTTCAAAGGTGCTCGGTCGCTTGCGCATGTTCTTGACATAGAGCTTAAGCTCGGCATTCCTGGGATTCTTGCCGGGTTGTCTCTTTAAAGCAGAAATCTTATCACTATGATACAAGCACTTGAAAACTCTAAGACCTACTACGCGGAAAACACTAAACGCTAAACCCTGAACCCTGAACCCTAAAGACTAAACCCCAAACCCTATACCCTAAACCCTGAGCCCTAAACCCAAAGCCCTTATTTCATGAACAGACCCAGATTCGGCTTGTAGAAGTAGTTCAGCATCTCGGTGGTGTTGCTCTCACCTCCCGGCCGCTCCTTCAGCAGAGTGGTCGTGCGGCCGCCATCTGGGGTGGGGCCGAGGTAGAATACCGATATCCAGGTGTCGTGGGCGAGCCGGAGATGAAGACGCAAAAGCGCCATGACATCCTGTGTTGGGGGGTTTAAGGTTTAGGGTTTAGGGTTTAGGGTTTGTTTGGGGTTTAAGGCTTTGGGTGTAGGGTTTTGGGTTTAGGGCTTAAGGGCTTTAGGGTTCAGGGTTTAGGGTTTGGGGTTTAAGGTTTAGGGCTTTTGGGTTTAGGGTTTAGGGCTTTAGGGTTTAGGGCTTTAGGGTTTATGGGTTCCGCCAGGGCTTCCTTCTAGGGGTCTAGACGGGCTCCCGTAGGGCCTAATTCGGGTTTAGGGTTTAGGGTTTAGGGTTTAGGGTTTAGGGTCACGTGACGACCGACATTCAATCGAGTCCTGTTAGACAAAAACCTCCAAAACATGTCATTCAAAAACCTCTGACTGTTTATGATCTGTAAGAACCCTAAACCCTAAAACCCCTAACACCCCTAAAACCCCTAAAACCACCCAAAACAAAACCGAAACCCGAAACTCCATGGTAAACCCCTCAAGAAAAGCCCCTCGACGACGAAGGATCCTCGGCGGCGGTGAGGTTCAGAGGCAAGGCCACCTCGCCACAGTCTTTCCAGGCCTCGCGCGCGGGGCTACCTAGATCCTACGGTTTCGGGTTTAGGATTTAGGGCTGAGGGGGTTTAAGGTTTAGGGTTGAGGGTTGAGGGCTTAGGGTTGAGGTTTTAAGGTTGAAAATAGGGTTTTGGGCTCAAGGTTTAGGGTTCAACCCCAAATACGAACGCCCAACTACAAGAACCCCTAAACCCTAGACGACTAAGTCCTACAGAAAGCCCTAATGGAACCCTTAAAATAAACCCTGGCAGGAAATATCCATCCAAAAATAATCCCTAAATGGAACCCGAAAGCAACCCTTCAACCCTAAACCCCAAACCCCAAACCCTAAACCTTAAATCCTAAAACCCTAAACCCTAAACCCTACAACCCCAAACCCCAAACCCTAAACCCCAAACCCTAAACCCAAAGCTCTAAACCCTTCAACCCTAATCCTTCCAGACCTCGTTGGGCTCGTCGGGTTCTGTGGGCTCGCTTTGCCAGGAGGCCGATGGCCTGGGTTCTGGAATTTTGCTAGGGTTTGAAGAGTTTTTAGGGTTTGGGTTTTAGGGTTTAGGGTTTAGGGTCTACGTAAAGTTAGAGCTTTGGGTTTAGTGTAATGTTCAGGGCTTCGGGTTTAGGTTTAGGTTTAGGGCTTTGGGCTAAGGGTACAGGGCTTATGGTTGAGGGTTCAGATTCAAAAGCTGTAGATGGGCTTTAGATGGAAGGAACTGTTTTTTGATTTTGCATGGGTGTCGTAGGATCTCTTCAGGGTGTTAACAAGAATGCTCCAAATAATACACTGAACCCTAAACCCTAAACCCTAAACCCTAACAAATAATAGCCCAGGGGCGGCTGGAAGGGCGCCTTCTCCGCGGCCTGGACGTAGATGGTCACCGGCGGCGTCTCCTTGCAGCCTACCTCCCTCTTCTCCGACAGAACCTGGCTGGGGCTTGGGGTTTAGGGTGCAGGGTTCAGGGTTCAGGGTTGAGGGTTTAGGGTCTAGGGTTCAGGGTTTAGGGTTCAGGGTTTAGGGCTTTGGGTTTAGGGTTCAGGGTATAGGGTTTAGGGTTTAGGGTGCAGGGATTGGGTTCAGGGTTGAGGGGCTGTCCGTGGCGACCTTCTTGACATGATAAGAATATACGATACAAGCCGATGTTCAAACAAACCTGCTGAGGCTGAGATGTTCAAGCAAGGCCTGGGCACCTAAACCCTATAAACTCCAAACCCGAGCCCTAAACCCCAAACCCCAAACCCTAAATCCCCAAACCCTAAATCCCCAAAACCCTAAATCCCTAAACCCTAAAACCCTAAACCCTAAATCCCCAAAACCCTAAATCCCCAAACCCTAAAACCCTAAACCCTAAATCCCTAAACCCTAAACCCCAAACCCTAAAACCCTAAACCCTAAATCCCTAAACCCCAAACCCTACACCCCAAAAGGAAAGCCAAAGGCACCTCCTCGATCCTCTGCACGGTCTGCAGGATGGACTCTACCGGCCGCGTCTCACCCTCGAACCTCACAAAGCTGGCCTCCGAGGTTTAGGGTTTAGGGTTTAGGGTTTAGGGCTATTTCAGAATTCTTTGCAGGTTTAGGGTTTAGGGTTTTAGGGTTTAGGGTTTAGGGTTAAGGGGATGAATTTAAAGTTTAGAATTCTTTGCAGGTTTAGGGTTCAGGGCTTCGGGATTAGGGTTTTAAGGTTTAGGGTTTAGGGTTTAGGGATTGAGGGTTCAGGGTTTTGGGATTAATTTAAAGGGTGCTTCTAAGGGTGGAAGGATCTACCAGAGATCTACAGCGGCTTAGGGCTTAGGGATTTCGATTCAGGGTTAAGGCGTTAAGGTTTAGGGTTTAGGTTTAGGGTTTAGGGGTTTAGGAGTTTAGGGTTTAGGGTTTAGGGGGGTTCAAAGCTGGCCTCTAGGAACTCATTGATATCCAGGACTCCGTCGCCATTGGTGTCCTTAGCCCCAAGACTCTTGCGGCACCTTAACAACCTACAGTGAACAACACAGAAGGTCTGGAATCTCAAGTAGCAGGATACCAGGAAAACACCAACCCAATAAAGTCTGGCCAAACCGAAACCCCGTAAACATCGCAGACAGTTGAAGACCTAACAAGGCCACGCAAAAACCATTCTTCAAAAAAACGCCGACTACTGTACACCTTTGTGAACCAATAAATGAAAAATCAATTCAAAAGACTCTTAGTAAACTTCAAGTTTTTTTGGTTTAGAGTTCAGGGTAAAAAGAGAAGAGTCCGCGGTTTGGAAGGACGCTTCGTCGATCCAACCGGCTTGCAGATCGTCGCCTACCTGAGTAGCCACCGTCTTCTGGGCCGAGACCTCGATCTTTCGATCTTTCTGGGTGAAGGATTGGGGTTTGCGGCTTAGAGCTTGAGGATTTCGGATTAAGGATTTTTGGTAGAAGGGTTCGAGAAGTTGTACCTGAGGGAGCTACAAAGTCATTTCGGGTTTGTGGTTCAGGGGAGTGGGGTATGGGATTTCAAGCTTGGAGGCCAACCCAGTAAACCCTCACATGCTAGGTTCATGCGGGAAGTTTGCTTGTATGCATGTATGCATGCGTGATGTACGTAAGTGTGCATGTAGGTAAGTAGGCACGCAGGTAGATAGGCAGGAGGCAGGAAGTAGGTGGGCAGGTAGGCAGGCGGGCAGGCAGGCAGGTAGGTAGGTAGCAGGTAGGTATGCATGCAAACATATATGTACGAATGTACCTATGTAACGCAATGAGCGTCATGCGATGTACTCTGCAGCAGCATATCTTGAACTCCCACTCGTGATGTAATCTGATGTAGCGTAATGAAATGTAGCGCAATGGCAGGTAACGAAGGCAAATGTTCTCTGTGTGTGTGTGCTTGTTGGTTTTTTGTGTATGTATGAATGTATGTATGTATGTCCAAAAGTGGGTAAGTATGTATGCATGTATGGACCTGTGTAACATTTAGCTATGTATGTATGTATGTATGTATGTATGTATGTATGCATGCATGCATGCATGCATGCATGTATGTATGCATGTACAGATGTGCGCATGCATGCGCATGCATAAATGAAACTATGCAATGTACTAGATGTAACTTTGTATATGTGTGTGCATGTGATGCATGTATGTATGCATGCATGCATGTATGTATGTATGTATGTATGTATGTGTGCCTATGTATGTACGTATGTATGCATGATGTAGCATGCTTGTACACATGCATGCACGCATGCATCTACGCATGTATGCAAGCACGCATGTATGTGGGGACATGTATGTCTGCAAGTATGTATGCGTGCACGTACGCAAGGACAAACATGCGAACGAATGAGTACGTGCTCACCGGTGTCTGTAAATGCTTACGCACAGAAGCATGCCGGGACAACGTTACACATTGTCGATATATCTCGGTACATATTCACACATACACACACACACACACACACATACACATATACATTAGAGGAAACGAGGAGTGGGCGAGAGAGAAAGAGAGACACATGAAGCTTTCAGCAATGTCATCCGTTTGACCATCTTTGGAGGGATGCTTACGTCACATACGTCTGTTGATTTCGCTATGCATACGCAATGAACAGATAAATAACATCCTGCACAGTTCAAACCGGCAGTGTGAGAAAAGAAGGCTACAAGACTACAAGAACCGGACCTGTAGTGTGATGCTGTCTGTGTACATGCATACATATGTGCGTATGTATACATATATATATATATATATGTACATATATATATATATATAGGTGTTTTTATTTATTTAGATATATATTTATATACACACACACTTCATCTTTTTGTACAACATGCGTGTACGCGGGGGTGCGCAGGTACATGCAATCTCGCGTCTTGCCTTGTCGACCAAGACCCCTTCTTCTGAAGTCATCCTTCCTATCATAGACATTTATTCTAACGAGTGTGGCATCCGGAGTCACGTTGACAGACTTTGGTTTGGTTTACACCAGCATACAGTGACCAAAAATGCATACTGCTTCCAAATTGTTCAGACTTCCATGTTACCTATCTTCCCAAATACACACCAACTTGAAAAGTTTAACTTTCACAAAAATGCCCATTTGTTCAGGGTTCAGGGCTCAGGAAGTAACCTTAGATACGACCATTTTCTGATGCAGCAGTTCTCAGTTCAACTGAAAATGGATCCCTCAGTTCGTGCTTGGCCTCCCAACGTTTGCAATTAAATCCGCTGTACCTGAAGCCGGCACACGAAGATCCCTACAGCTCAAACTCCAGAATAAGCCAACAGCTGAGCACCTATCCTGGGAAGCTAAACCAACAGCTAAACACGATGTCCGAGGCCCCAAACCCTAAACCCGCAATTCTCAACCCCAAACCCAAATACAGCGGCTGTAGCAGTCGGCATCCGGCTCGGGGGTTATATGGAAGTATGCCTATATCAACGAGCCCTTACGGAACAGTATTGGAAAACCTTAAACCCCAAATCCTAAACCCTAAACCCTAAACCCTAAACCCCCTAAACCCCCTAAACCCTCAACCCTAAACCCTAAACCCTAAACCGGGAGGCCCAGTTCTCAGGGGGGACGAGGCCGTCGTTGGCGAGATCGACGAGAGCGAAGATTCGACGCAGCGAGAAGCGGATGCCGGCATGGTACCTCGATCAAAGAGGCTCCAATATCCCTTAATTGAGGAATATACTAGGTTTTGGTTTAGGGTTTAGGGTTTAGGGTTTAGGGTTTAGGGTTTAGGGTTTAGAGTTTAGGGTTTAGGGTTTAGGGTTTAGGGTCTAGAGTTTAGGGCTTAGGGCTTAGGGTTTAGGGTCTAGGGTTTAGGGTACCTCGTTCAAAGAGGCTCCAATTTCCCTTGATATGATTTAAAGGTATATTCCTTAATTGAGGGGTATTCGAGTCTTTCAGTTTGAAGGAAGCATCCTAGGGCTTCTAGGGCTCCCTTCCAAAAGGGCACCTAAGGGCTTTAAGTTTAGGGTTTTGGGTTTAAGGTTCAGGGTTTCGGGTTTAGGTTGTAGGGTTTAGGTTTCACCTTAAGCCCTAAACCTGGTGTAGGGTGTTAGATTAGAGATGAAACACTTCAAACCCTAAACCCTAACTTCCTTGTCCAGTATCCCAGGGGTTAGCCTTTCGGATTTTGCATGGACTAAAACCATACCCGAAAAAGCCTACTACTACTAGGCTAACCACTAGAACCGCAAACCCTAAACAGGCTTCGGGAAGTCTCTAACCAACAGGGTGCTTCTAGGTGGTTCCGAAGGCTTCAGGAGTCCAGGAGGCTGGTAAAGGCTTAGGATGGCCTGTTTTGGATCGTCCAGGTCTCACATTTTGCTCGTAGGGCTTTGGATTTAAAGCTTTAGGGTTTGGGAGTTTGGCCCAAGTGTTTGCTTTACCCCTTTTGTCCTGTATCCTGAGGAGGGCCCCCAGTATCTCCTTATTCTAAAGCTACCGTTGTTCCCACTATTCGGCCTCAATCATGAGACTGAAAAACTAGTAACACTAAAAGGTAGAAGGGTGCTACCACGGCAAGTAGGTCCGTATTACTGGGGTCGCCTTGCAGAAGCCTTGCGAAACGGATCGTTTCGCCTACCACAGGGACTCAACATAAGGGCTGAGGGCTTGAGCCCGAAAGCCAAAAGCTGTTCTTCTAGAAAAGGGCTTAGGTTTCGGACTATGTTTTACGATGGCAACTATTCCGAAAGCCTAAGCCTAAAGCTATTCTGCTAGAACAGGTCTTGGGTTTTGGGATATATTGTACTGTTGGTATAACGAAGGCTTCCAGAAGGCTCTAGGGTGTCAGGTAGAGGCCTTAACAAATCGAATAGGGTTTTGGGCCCATTATACTGTAGTTATAACAAGGAACCCCCCAAAATACCCTAAACCCTAAACCCTAAACCATATCCCTCTATTAAGTAGGGGAATGAAGAAAAAAGCATCCTGCTCGAGTGCTTGGCCCAGTCACCTCGGGCCCATCCTAGCTCGCTCATCCAGCGCCTGCACACAAGGACCCCCACAGCTGGGTGGGATGAGGGTTGGCGGTTTAGGGTTTAGGGTTTCGGGTTTAGGGTTTAAAGGGTTGCTTTAGGGCTTAGGGTTTTAGGGTTTAGGGTTTTGGGGTTTTAGGGTTTAGGGTTGAGGGTCTTTGTATGGAGGGGTTTACAGGATCCCACCTCATGATTAGAAGCCCTGTATTATTAAAAAATACTCCTGCAGCGCAGTAAGAAGAAGCCAAATGCTTAAACATCTCAGCGGCAATCAGAACCCCTGTGTCGTGTCAGGAATCTTCCTTCACAGTAACCCAATACAGCTCAAAGGGCATTTAACACTCCCTAAACCATAAAATGGCCTTAAACCCCAGGCGCTGAACCCTAAACCGTACACAAGGCAGCTAACAGCCGCAGCAGTGACCAAAGGCGATTGGCTCCGTCGGTGAACGGGTTTTTATGGTCGGAAGCTGCGATATCCGGCATCGGGTTGCAGCTTTCATGAATTCATGAGGGGGCCTATAAGCGTCGGACTGATGATGAAGATGATGATGATCATCATCATCATCATCATCATGATCATGATCATGATGGTGGTGATAATGATGACGATGGTGATGGCGATGGCGATGGCGATGGTGATGGTGATGGTGATGGTGATGGTGATGGTGATGGTGATGGTGATGGTGATGGTGATGGTGATGGTGATGGTGATGGTGGTGATGATGGTGGTGATGATGATGTTGAACATGATACTGGTGAGGATGATAATGGTGATGATGGTGATGATGATGATGATGATGCTGCTGACCAAGACCACAGCAACAACAGCAGCAGCAGCAGAATCAGCAGCAACAACACCAGCAGCAGCAGCAGCAGCAGCTGCGGCAACAACACAACCACAACGCAAGCGCAGCAGCAACTACAACAACAACCATAACCACAATAACCACACCCACAACCATAACAGCAACAACCACAACAGCAGCAGCAGCAAGGAAATAAGCAAGCCCAGACAGCAACAGAAAAACTTTGACAATTGTGACAAAAGCAACAACAGCACTGGAAATGGCAGCAACAACAAAGACAGGAACAACAAACCCCTCAAGCGCTGAACCCCAAACCCTCATTGGTAAACTCTACATACTGGCCCCTACGGTTTGACCCCAAAGCCAAAACCCTAAACCCTAAACCCTAAACCCTAATCCCTATACCCTGAACCCTGAAAAGATACTCATGGTTCGTCGCGTCACCTGATTCGTCTGCTGCGCCATGTGCTCTAAAACTTCCGCTCGAGCCATGCCCATCTCCTGGGCTCTCTTCATAGAGCTCGTTTGAGCTTAATGTAGGGTGCTTAAAAAT